GACCATGCTCTATAGAATAATATTGTTAAAACATCCCTGACTTTAACCAGTCATGAAGAAATTTGCTTCTCAGGTACAGAAGAGCAAAATTTATGGGCTAAAAATAAAAACTACGACTGTTTTATTATTTTCATTTGTTTAATAAATACACTGGCGTGAAACAACTTAGTACAAGTTTGATTGCTTTTTGAGATACGTCTATTTTGGAGTTGTAGCCCCCACCACCGGAGAAAAATCCACCAGCCGCCACTGAACCAGAGTCTGAGCCAGAGCCAGAGGAGAATGAAGACGACCAAATTGTAGTTGGAAAGTCCAGATCTTATTTGGCAGTKCTTAACAGGTTGAAAAATATGTCCCAAACAGAATATAAAGATATCTACAAGGGGAGACTAAATTCTAATTTTCTGCACTCCTAGAGACTCCAAGTACACAACAAAATAGGGTTGGGCAATATTGCCAAAAAAATTAATCACAATTAAATGTGGTATTTAATCGATAACGATTAATTTGACTATTAATCCCCTGGAGTCCATGGACACCCTTATAGACACATGACCAATTTAGTGGGAAAGATTCTTCGTGAAAATCTGTTCCAAACTGTGTCAAAATTACAGACTTCAGGCTATACATCAAATTTAAAATTGTGTTGATAGATAAAGAAATGACAACTTTTTTTTAAATTTTCATCATATTTGAAGCAGAGAGGAGCACCAAGCAGACTGACTGGAGAAATCTCCACTCACTCTACCTGGTGGCATTAATCATATTAATCGTCAAGTGCCAAAAAAAAATGCTCGATTAATGTTTTTCTGACGATTAATCGCACACGATACGATTATGCCCAACTCTACAACAAAATGCATTTAACAGCTAAAAAAGCGGATTTTGATGACATTTCCCCTTTAAAACATAAACACAGCGATAAGACAAGAACAGTTCTGTGCTCAAACKTTCCCAGACTTTCTTCCTTTTTGAGAATCTGATTGTTCTGTCTGTGCTTATTGTACGCTGCAGCCCATCTGAGTCACCGTATTATGACCAACATGAACCTGATCACAGCTCAGAAACCTTAGCCAGCATATATCTCGTGACTTAGTGGCTGTTTGTCTGATTAATTTATTATTATTAAGCAAATATAGGAATACACTAAGCTGTAATGTGATACTGAGTTAACAGAACGAAAGAACAGCTTCTGTCGTACCTCCCTGGTGGATACAGTCCAGTTTGTCCACAGCTGTGACGGAGAAAAGCCGGTAGCCTGTCTTAGTTCCCACAGACAAAGAACTGTGACAAAAAAAGAAGAAGATGACTTCTTACCTTCACAAACAAACAAATGTTACATTCAAATGCTATCATTTACATTTCAGAAACAAAAAATTGTAAAAGAACTTAGCTGAAACTTTACGACGGGGTGTAAAACGTTGGTGTTTTAATGATATTTCTTCTGCATTCCACGTAGACAAAATGTTTCCACTGAATCAGACTTTTCTTTTTAGAACAGAGCAATGTTTGTCAGGTTTCAATTCTTGTTAAAGTAACAGCTTAAACTTAAAATCTTTTCATTTCCCTAAAAAGAAGCTGTGTTATTTTTTGCTGGAGATGAAAGTCATCTCATCTAGATAAGATTGACTTCAGAGCCAAATCACTTGTTGATTTAAAAAACAGGCACACTTGTCTACACAGGAGTTTTCTGGTCTTTCTTTGTTAACCCTCAAGTAAAAATTAACAGGATGCATACAGGAAAACAAAAGAATTAAGTAACACTTAAAGGAGGGGGGGGTAGAGTTTAGAAATATTTCGGTCAAACTGTATAATCCTGTGATTTATTACAGCTGTACAGGAAGTGGAACTGAGCAGTTTGATGTGCAACAGGGCCTGAAGATTAACACGGTGGCCTAATTCACTTCCAGCTCATCTTTAAATTTTAATGTTCCGCCCAAAAAGCTTGTCATTTCTCCTCTGCGGTTTTAATCTGTGTCAAAAACCATTCCAGTGCTTGGAAATTCGGCTAAACATAGTTATGCAACAGTTAGGTCCATAAAAAAAAAAAAAAAACGAGTTCACTTGTGTGGGCCCGGACCCGCCGGCCCGCAGGTCGCTTACGTGGTGTCCTGGTTGAACGAGGCGCAGATGAAGCCTCGCTGCCCTCCAGGGTCCCCCGATACGTCCTGGGACTCCATCCGAACCGCCCGAATCACTCTCCGATAGCTGTCCCGAAGTCGGAGGCCTGCAGTTCGGGTCGATACCCCCGCCGGAGCCCGTTACTTCTCCTCTTGAGTTGTCCCCCGCCGCCGCCGCCGCCGCC